TTTTATTCGTCACATATTATGAGTTTTGCTTGGAGCATCTTGTATGATATGAGTCTTTGCTTATTTTGCTTTGTGTTTTAAGTCTTGAATCCTTGCTGGACACACCTTTTTGAGAGATCCAAAAAATTATGCTATACTTGCTCCTATGTTTCACTTAAATTTTTAGAGCTATGGAATTGCTCTAGTGCTTCACTTATATCTTTTTGAGCACGATGTGCTTTGTTATTTTTGAAGAAATGATCTCATACTTCACATAGATTTATTTGGGAGTTAGTAAAATTTTGAAGAAATTCTCTCTTGCTTCACTTAAATTATTTTGAGAGAAAGAAATATTATGCTCATGTTCTTCACTTAAATTTGTTTGAGCTTATTAAAAGCAACATATGAAATTGGTCCCAAAGTGATAGATATCCAAAGATGATATAATAAAAACTTTCATGAAGATAATAGAATAAACTTTGTTTTTTGTAATGGTTTTGAGATATGACGATATGATATGTGAGTCATGTTGATGAGTAATTATTCTTTAGTAAGAATATTGGTGTTAAGGTTTGTGATTCCTAATACTTCTCCAACGTATCTACTTTTCCTAACGCTTTTCCTCTTGTTTTGGACTCTAATTTGCATGATTTGAATGAAACTAACCCCGGACCGACACTATTTTCTGCAGAACTACCATGATGTTGTTTTTGTGCAGAAATAAAAGTTCTCAGAATGGAACGAAACTTTTTGAAGATTTTTTATATCAAATAAGAGAATTTCTGGAGCCAAGAGGTACCTGAGGGGGGCACCTAGGTGGGCAGAACCCACCAGGGCGCGCCTGCCCCCCAGGCGTGCCCAGGTGGGTGCTGCCCACCTGCTGGCCCTGCTGACCCTGAAACGGATGCTATAAAATCACATTATTCCAGAAAAAAATCAAGGAGAAAGAATTATCGCGTTTCACGAGACGGAGCCACCGCGGTCTCTTGTTCTTCATCGGGAGGCTAGATCTGGAGTCCGTTTGGGGCTTCGGAGAGGGGGATCTTTGATCTTCATCATCACCAACACATCTCCATCACCAATTCCATGATGCTCCCCAACGGGAGTGAGTAATTCCTTCGTAGGCTCACTGGTCGGTGAGGAGTTGGATGAGATTCATCATATAATCGAGTTAGTTTTGTTAGGGCCTAATCCCTAGCATCCACTATGTTCTAAGATTGATGTTGCTATGACTTTGCCATGCTTAATGCTTGTCACTTTGGGCCCAGGTGCCATGATTTCAGATCTGAACCGTTTATGTTATCACCATTATATACATGTTCTAGATCCGATCTTTCAAGTTATAGTCACCTACTATGTGTTATGATCCGGCAACCCCAGAGTGACAATAGTTGGGACCACTCTCGGTGATGATCGTAGTTTGACGAGTTCATGTATTCACCGTGTGCCAATGCTTTGGTCCGGTTCTCTATAAAAAGGAGGCCTTAATATCCCTTAGTTTCCAATAGGACCCCGCTGCCACGGGAGGGTAGGACAAAAGATGTCATGCAAGTTCTTTCCATAAGCACGAATGACTATTTACGGAACACATGCCTACATTATATTTATGAACTGGAGCTAGTGTCGTATCGCCCTAGTTTATAACTGTCTCATGATGAATATCATCCAACGAGTCACTGATCCAATGCCTACGAATTTACCTTATATTGTTCTTGCTAAGTTACTACTGCTACTGCTATCGTTACTGCTACAATATCACTGCTATCACTGCTACAGTTACTATTGCTACTGCTGCTATCATCAAAACTATCATATTATTGTGCTACTAATCACTTTGTTGTAGATAATTTATCTCCAGGTGTGGTTGAATTGACAACTCAGCTGCTAATACCTTCAAATATTCTTTGGCTCCCCTTGTGTCGAATCTATAAATTCGGGTTGAATACTCTACCCTCGAAAACTGTTGCGATCCCTTATACTTGTGGGTTAAAAAACCTTTTTCTGGCGTCGTTGCCGGGAAGCGTAGCTATATTTGTTGAGTCACTTGGGATTATTATCATATAATAATGAATCTATGGATGTGAATTTTGTTGGTAGGAACAATTTTGGTAACAACGCGTATAGAGGAAACTTTAATCCTAGGCCGTTTCTTAGTGATTCCTCTAATAATTATGGTAATTCCTACAACAACTCTTATGGAAATTTTAGTAAGATGCCCTCTGATTTTGAGATTAGTGTTAAAGAATTTATGATCTCTCAAAAGAATTTCAATGCTTTGCTTGAAGAAAAATTGCCTAAGATTGATGAATTGGCTAGGAACGTGGATAGAATTTCTCTTGATGTTGATTCTTTGAAACTTAGATCTATTCCACCTAAGCATGATATCAATGAGTCTCTCAAAGCCATGAGAATTTCCATTGATGAGTGCAAAGAAAGAACTGCTAGGATGCGTGCTAAGAGAGATTGCTTTGTAAAAGCGTGTTCTTCTAGTTTCGATGATAATAATGATGAAGATCTAGAAGTGATTGATGTGTCCCCTATTAAATCTTTGTTTTGCAATATGAAGCTTGATAATGATGGGACTGGAGATGAGCCAACTTTAGTTAAAAGGCATCCCAATTATTCGGAGTTTTTAGATCTTGATGCTAAATTTGGTAAAAGTGGGATTGGAGAGGTCAAAACTTTACATAGCAATGAACCCACTATTTTGGGTACTAGTCCACCTCTTCGAGAGCTCATACAACTTACTCAACTATGCCAGAGCCCATAATGACTTGTGGCTGCACACGGAAGTTTCTAAGCATGAAATATCATATGATCCCTTTGAGCCTGGGTGGCGAACCGAGGAAAAATCACACGGGTACTCCGCGATTTCCCAAATGGACAAACACTGGACTCTCCAAGTGCCCCGACCAATCCATCCAGATGTGTATTAAAGTTGCCACCTTAATGTTATCCAAGATTAATAACTCTCATAACTTCCATGTGTATCACGATCCAATCCCCGTCTACGAGCATGGCTAAGCAATAATAGAGCATAACGTATATTCTTGGGGTGATCAAAAAGGTCTTAGGTTCCTACCTCAAGTACTACAACCAAACCAGAGCAGCGAAACCGTGGCCGCCACCTCCAGAGAACTGGGCTGCACTATCAGTGGACGGGTCTTTTTGTCCAAGTGATACGTCGGCGGCCGCGAGGATGGTGCTATAATTTTTGCAGCATACAAAGTATTGTTTCACTATAATGATGCTGTGAAAATGGAGATTCATACTTTGATGCAAGGTATGGCTCTAGCCATCCAACATACGGATAGACCAATGCTTGTGCAATCTGACTCAATGGTTGCGTTATCCATTCCATTTAGTGACAACCTGTTACCGTCAGCATATGGACAACTTGCAACTGAGATTAAGGCTCTCGTGTTTGATAAGGAGATTGTTCGCCAGATGATTAGTCACTCACAAAAACAAAATATGGTAGCAGATCGGTTAGCTTTTTATAGCCATATGGAGTCTGTGTACATATGTATGGTTGCATTATGGACCTTCATGTATTGAGGACCTTGTGCCTCTGGATTGTAACCTCATCCTATGGAATAAACTCTTTCTCATTGCAAAGAAAATATTGCAACCACCTGAAGAATAAGAATAAATAGATGCAAGGGATGGATGGCATGAGACTGACATGCATGCCGTGGGGGTGCGCGCGTCCCCCGTTAGCCCGTCAGGTCTCCATTGACGGACGAGTGGTCCCAGTCAACTTGAGCCCACGCACCATCGGATTCGCTCTCCACGCTCCACGGACAAAACCCAACAGGTGATCTTTTCTCCGGCAACGTACAACTACCTCTACAGTACCAGCAGTACTCACTACTGTAAAACGGAGGATTACAGTAAAAATACATTTGTTTGTCACCTAGTGGTAGAGTAGAGTAGTAGTAGCTGCATAGGCTCTGTTCATCTAGGTCGACTAGAACGAAGCGTACATGGACGGACGGAGAAGACGGCGAAAAGATGTAGCAGCAGGCAGCAGCGGGAGATGGATGGACGAGTGACTGGTGCATGGGCAAAAGGACACACACGCCCGTGACTGCCCCTGAGACTCCGGCCAGCTCCGGTCCCACCACCAAAAGCAGCAGCGCCCATCTCATCACTTTCCCCTCCCTCCGCCTGCATCTCTGGCTTTTGCTTCCCCCTCCCTCTCTGCTGAGGTTGTTTGAGTTTTTTTATTTCAAACCAGATGTTTCAACTTATTCACCCTCGCTCGTCAGGGGTAAAAAAGAACCGGTCCTATCCTCTTCTTCTAACGAATGATAAGCAAAGGAGAGGTTATTTTCACAAACACCCAATTTGATGTCCACAACACATCCATGGTAGTCATTAGTCACAAAGTGGCCACTGCTGCCAGGAGTCAAAGACTAGCCAAGCAGTGACGGTATACTTGTTCTTCTGTCATCAGACTGAGATGAGATCCACACAAACAGAGGATTGACCTTGACCTGACCGAGCACACACACGCAGCAATGCAGTTATGCATGATGGTTTCTAGTAAAAAGTACTTTCCACACACTTTCCCCTTGCTATGCTCGGCTCGGCTCGACTCGACTCTTGCAGGAACTAGGTAATAATTAAAACGACTGACTGGTACTATTTATGCTGCTACCATATACTACTAACTACTAAAATGCCTAGGGCTAAAGACAACCTAGGACTTGTTTCCTTTCTTAATCTGTTGCTGTTGTTGCTGTTGAGTTGCTGCCGCTGTCCCTCTCTTCAACTCAACAAAGATACACCTCCTAGAATCTGTTAACGCTTTCCTTTTCTTTTTCCTACCACCACTTGATGGGGTCAGTCATCACACGAGCCCCTGCATGCACACAAAAAAGCCCATCATCAGGGAGGGTAATATTTTACTATTACATACATACATCCTTCTACCATGATTGAGTCAGTGATTGTTGCTGTTGACACTTACTCCCGGCACAGCAGGGAGCAGATGACACCCCTCTTCTTTGCTCTATTCACAGCCCAATTGCTCCCTGCCCAGACGACAATCTGAAGAGGAAAAACAATTTTACATCTCTCACATAGCTGTTGACAATTTTCTCACAAAAATGTACTAATTCCTGATGCAGGTTAAAAACAGATATTAGCATGAAGGGAAGTGAATCAACTGGAGTGATGTTTTCAAATAATAATCACCTAGGCACTTGAGAGAAGCAGGAGCTGTAGAGAGGTTTTGTAGGCGGGAAAAGAGAAGAGGCCACCAGGTGGGGGCTGCTACTGTTGCCCATGGCACCAGTGTGAGCTGTCAGCTGCTCAGCAGCAGCAGCAGCAGCAATGGAGGCCTCCTTGGTGGGGGAAGAAGCAAAGGGGCTACCAGGCAGGTGGTGGGTGTGCTCCATGCCACTACAATTCAAAAACAAGAGACACACGCACACACATCAATCAATTATGGAAATACAGTATGGTAGAGCCCCCCACAAACAAAGGCAAAAGGACTGTTTAACCAGTTCATAATAATATACTTGTCACTAGCTGGGGTGACTAGTTTCTCTTCTTCGAGTCTTATCTTCCCTTCTATTACTAGACTATTAGTATGCTAATCAAGAGAGCCTATGATTAGCACCACAAAAGCCTATAACTCGCCGCCCTTTTTGCAATGACTTTTGAAAGCACATTTTTTGTTAGGATAAAAGAGAATGATATGATTAGCATATACATATACATATACAGATGAAGAAAAGGAAACAGTTACTGCACTAGTTACTGCAGGTTTTAATTACTGGGGGAAATGTGTGTGGCCTCATTGTACCAATGCATTTCATCACTAGGGTGAATTTCCAGTATTTCTACAAAATGCACTTTTTATTTTGTAATTCAAAACCTGGTGATACTTTTTTGGAAAGTATTAAGTACATGCAGATAACCTTTTGATTTTGATGCCTAAATATGATAATATGTGTACTGCATAAAGCTATTATCGTTGTTGCACAGAATGCATATGACTAAACTTCACAAGGATGCATGTTACAGGATGGTTTATAGAAATACGAGATGTTCAAGTTTTCTAATGGAAAAAATATGCATTTCGAATATCCCGAAGCAGACATCCACCCAAGTGGTGAAAATCCATGTTGGCCCCATCTGATACTAACATCCACCCAAGGATTACAGATATACTATTACCTTTCTTGGTATTCACAAACAACATTGGATGCAGCTGCTGCCCCAGGACCAGATTCCCTCCTCCCCTCTTCCCCAGAGTTGACTGCCTGCCTGGGACTGCCATTGCCATCACCACCCTCCTCCTGATACTCCTGCTTCCCTTCTTTAGAAATCACAGAAGCAGCAGCATATGGACCCATGAAAAGACCACTGCTCAGATTGCTGTTATCTGCAACAAGCAAGCATGGATCATGATGAGCTCTGAACGCTCGGGTAACCAAATGTGCATTTGGAAAAAAAAAACGAAATGTAATGCTTTCCAAGAACTGGACCTTGGATGGTGCTAATGGCCTCATCAAGATGGACGCCATTGCCGTTCCCACTGAAGCAGCCGCCATTGCCGTCGGAAGGTGAGCCCACGGGGGAGCCGAGGAGGTGGTGGCCCCTGTTCTTGAGGTCAAGAAACTGCAGCCCCATGAGCCGGCGGCCTTGCAGCTCGATGGCATGCTGCAGCTCCGCCGCCTCCTGCTGCTCCTCCAGCCTCCTCCTCAGAAACGCCGCCTCGTGGCCGGCCATGCTCCCGTACAGCATTCTCTGCCCTGGCAATGGCAACACCAGCTCGTCAAACGCCTTGCGCAAATAACTGATGATTAGATAGGAGTGTTCAAATGCTCACCGATTTGCGGCTGCTGGAGGTCGAAGGGGTCCCTGGAGTCGAGCAGACCGGCAGGCGGCATCGCGCTGCTCACGGAGGCGAACTCGCGGTGGTGAGGAGAGAGGCAGTGGCCGCCGCCGCCGCCATGTCTGAACCTGTCGGGGACCTTGCCCTTCTCCTTGTAAGGCTTGACGAGGACGCGCGCGTCGCAGACGAAGTGTGGGTTGCCCTTGGCGAGGACGAGCCGCACCGTCTCCGGGTAGACGAAGGAGACGAAGCCGAACATGCGCTTCGGCTGGTGCGGGATGCGCACGTCCTGTACCGGCCCGTACATGCTGCGCGCTCAACCAAATGATCGGTCGACATTAGAGCAGAAGGGAGAGGTTTAGTACGCAACAAGGGCGGCGTGTGCGCACCTGAAGTAGCTGGACACGTCCTCTTCGGTGAAGGTGGAGTCGGCGGGGAAAGTGAGGTAGATCTGGCGCGCGCCGTGGTTGATGGCGAGGTCGCCGCGGTCCATGCGAGGCGACCGGTGGGAGAACCTGTGCATGTCATCGCCTCCGGCGAACAGGATGTCCGCCGCCCTGAAGCAGCAAGTATCAGTAATCTAGGCGGCTGAATGACAAGAGAAAATGGAAGCTTATGGGGATTTAAAAGGTGCCACCTTTGGGACTCGCTCTGCTGCTGCTGCTGTTGTAGGAGGAAGCTGAGGCCTTTGGGCGGCGACGGCGAGAAGGGGAAGGCGGGCGCCATCATCTGCGACCGCGCGGCGGCGAGGGCCTTGGCGCGCATGACCGCCATCTCCTGCTCGGCGACGTCCTCGGGCAGCCCGTGCAGGAAGCGGCAGCCGGAGCCGTTCTTGCAGAACCCCCGGGCGAAGTACTGGCACGGCTTCCACCCGCCCTCGGCGTCGCTCAGCGAGAAGCTCCGGCGGTGGTTAGTGCCGCTCGCCGGAGACCAGCACCCGTACTCCTCCTCGGGGTAGAACGCTTCGGATGCGGCGGCGAACGGGAGGCCGCCTTCGACATCTCCTCCAGCCGCACCCGGCGCCATCCTCCATGCTGGCGCGGGTGGGGAGGGGGGTTTGCTGCAGGCCGCGAGGTCGGCGACGACGGACTGGAGGAGGTGCTCGGGGCCGAAGGCGAGGCGGATCATATCCTCCTCGCTCTTGTCCTGGGTGAGCAGCATGCCCATGATCTTGGAGGCGAGGTCCGCGTCGACGAGCCCCTGGACCCGTGCGAACACCACCTTGGTGGCCTCGTAGGCGTCCATTGCGCCGCTAGTCTCTCCACGCGGCGGCGGTCTTTGATTTCTCAGAGGGGACGAGAGAGAGGGAGCGAGGAGCGGGGAATGTGAAAAGATTGGATTACAGAGGAGGGAAGACGAGAAGGAAGGGTGGGGGCACAGCTGTAAGCGGCATAGTGAAATAAATAGCGCGCCTGGGTTGGGTTGGGCTGGGAAAGTGCACTGTCTTCTTCCCCCAAATCAGTTTCCCTCCATCGATGGCCGGCTGAGGTTTTTCTCTCTATACAGTTTACCTAGAGGGATGGTTGTCACATTCAAATTTTGGATTTGAGATGGTTGTCCTGAGTTTCATTTTGGTACTCCCTCTCTTTCAATTTAGGTTGCGTATAACTTTTTCCGATATGGTTAAATGCGTTACGAATTAGTGTGATCAATGCTATTTCTTCGATGAGCTGTCAAAATTGTCCCTCTGCATCCGTCACTCCATGTCCTTAAATACGCTCCCGTGTTTCACGCGAGTAATTATTTCTTTTGGAAGTTTCGCTCGCCTTTGAATCCCCCTCCTCCGGTTGCATCCATCTACTCCTGGCAGGGGCGAAACCCAATGGGCCGATCCTAAAGCGCGGAAACACATGTCGTGAAAATGTACTAAGGCCATGGGAATTAGGTTGGGCCACAATGGGTGCATCATGACCCCATGTTTCTAGCCCACAATCAAGGTTGTACTTCCTTGTGCCGCTGACAGTAGCCCTCGACATTGCCAACTTGTGAAGGTTTAGGAGAATATTTGGTGGTGGAGCGGGCCAAAGAGAGCGCAAGGTGGGGCATCGAGACGTCACTCCTCACGCACGGGATCCAGGGCGCCCACTCTACAGCGAAAAGAAAGGTTCACTTCTCGGAGCGAAATGATAACGTGTCGTTGTTGGGCTCTACGGTAGGGTGCGAGGAGCGGGGAATGTGAAAAGATTGGACTACGGAGGAGGAAGGGTGGGGGCACAGCTGTAAGTGGCATAGTGAAATAAATAGCGCACCTTGGTTGGGTTGGGCTGGGAAAGTGCAGTGTCTTCTTCCCACAAATCAGTTTCCCTCCATCAATGGCCTGTTGAGGTTTTCCTCTCTATATAGTTTAACTAGAGGGATGGCTGTCACATTCAAATTTTGGATTTGAGATGGTTGTCCTGAGTTTCGTTTCGGTACTCCCTCTCTTTCAATTTAGGTTGCGTATAACTTTTTCGATATGGTCAAATGTGTTACGAATCAGTGTGATCAATGCCATTTCTTCGATGAGCTGTCAAAATTGTCCCTCTGCACCTGCCACTCCATGTCCTTAAATACGCTCTCGTGCTTCACGCGAGTAATTACTTCTTTTGGAAGTTTCGCTCGCCTTTGAATCCTCTTCCCCCTCCCCCCTCCACCGGTTGCATCCATCTACTCCTGGTAGGGGCGAAACCCAATGGGCCGATCCTAAGGCACGGAAACACATGTCATGAAAATGTACTAAGGCCATGGGCATTAGGTTGGGCCACAATGGGTGCATCATGACCCCATGTTTCTAGCCTTCAATCAAGGTTGTACGTCCTTGTGTCGCTGACAGTAGCCCTCAACATTGCCAACTTGTGAAGATCCAGGAGGATATTTGGTGGTGGAGTGGGCCAAAGAGAGCGCAAGGTGGGTCATCAAGACGTCGCTCCTCAGTTACGGAATCTAGGGCACCCACTCTACATCGAAAAGAAAGGTCCACTTCTCGGAGCGAAATGATAATGTGTCGTTGTTGGGCTCTATGGTAGGGTGTGTCGACTGCAAATTAAAAATTCCTACCTGCAGAACATCCAGGAAGATGCTGACAGAGATGGATCACAAATCATTACCGCTAGACGCGCAGTGTCGTGCAACGGAAGTAGAATTGGAGCAGCGTGCCCGCGGGGTTCATCTCCTCCTTGTCTGTCTCCCTTAAACAGTCGGTCGTCAAATCCCACGTGCAGTTTCGCCGGAGCGGCGCAAGTACATCACCTCTAATGGTATCCGTGTGTGTAGGAGGAACACTGTGTGGCGGACTGCTAGGTCCGATCGCACAGCCGGCGACGAATGGAGGTGGCTAGTTTCAACACATGGAAAGCCCTAGTGACGGCGTCGAAGCGATCAACTGAATGAGTGTGCCACACCTCCACTATATATAGGCATTCGTCGCGGGGTCAACACTTCAGTCTCGCACGGATCCTAAAGCCTAAATTTTGTTCGGCCTAGATCCGAGTCCGGGTAGGATCACATCTGACCCGTGGAGTTGGATCCGGGCTCACAGGTTCCTTCCCTTAAGCACGCAACCCCTTAGGTTCAAGTCGGCTTGGTCACAGGTCGGATCACCTCCGATCTGCTCGGCTGGTAGCGGCCTCTGGCAAGGCGTGCCAACCACCAAATAGATAATGAAGCCGGTTGGCGAACCTATACAACATGTCACACTTCTGTCCCCTTTGCCACGTGATATATGTTGTCGGGTTCAAGGTGAGTCTATCATCCTTGTGCTAGCCCGATCTCTTTCTCGTTCTAGTGATGCCGACCACAAAATGAATTATCTCATAATCCTTGTCGCATGGCCATGCTTATCTTGGTCATATCACATGAGGGCCCAAAGTATAACTCTCCTGATCGGAGGGGCAAATCCCATCTTGATCTACCATGTCTCGCAAGATGGGTCTAGACAATCGTGAAACCTACCTTTATAACTACCCAGTTACTTAGTAGCATTTGGTAGGCCCAAAGAAGGCTTGTCACCATCCCAAGTACATGATCCAGCTTAGGTATTAGGGCGTAGAACATATGTTGTACTCGGGACTCGCAAATGACCTATCGTTGTCTCTCATAGTCGGGTCTGTCCGACTCAGACCTTAACTGGACTTAGATCCGACTATGTCGAATCCGGCCAGATCCTTATGAGTCCATATTATCTGGCTAGCATCCAATGCTCCATGACTAGTGTACAACCAGACCTCGAACAGTCAAGTCTCTGTGCATCAGTGTCATCCCTCGATCGGTAATGCTGACACGCACAGTACTCGGGGAATTATAACAGAGTTTCAATCACACACTTATTACGTCGAGTCCTCATAAAGAGTATGAATTACATAAATAAATCATGGCTGAAGGCCATCTAAACTAGATAACTGTGGAAGCTTCAAGGGTAAATGAGTCCATCAACTCCAACGGCATAGCTGAGTGCAAAACAACGACCTATCGCACCTTATTCGTCGTCTGAGTAGTCTGCAACATAAGACGTTGCGGCCCGAAACGGGACAACACATGGAATATGCTGGCATAGTTACACTATAAAGCAATGATAATGCAAGAACTATATCTACATGTAATATTTGGCTGGTGGAGGCTGTAAGTTTCATGGTTTTGCATAAAGCTAGTTTTTTCCTACAACAAAGGAATAAATTTATTTAACTACTCCCATGTTGCCCATTATTTGAGAAGGTAATACCAACTCAAATCCCAATTAAAAATATCATCATTAACCCATCATCATAATCAATTAGAGTAACGTGATGAGATCACATCAATAGATTCAAATACTAAACACTCAAGATGTCCATAACCGGGGGGCACGGTTAACCATGATTAGTTTATACACTCTGCATAGGTTTGTGCACTTTTCCCCATAAGACTCGACCGCATCAATGATCGGATGATTGAGACATAGCCTTTCTGAAGCATTAATTCTCTACTCCGGGTAGACAATACCACCTACATCCCTCTTCATCTGCTAGTCTACCTCTTCAAGAGCTCACACAACTTACTCAACTATGCCAGAGCCATAATGGCTTGTGGCTACACATGAAAGTTTCTAGCATGAATAATCTTATGATCCCTTTGAGCTTGGGTGGCATTCCATAGGATAATCACACAGGTACTCTGGGATTTCCAAAAACAGACAACACTGGGTTCCCCAGGTGCCTCAACCAATCCACCCAGATGTATATTAAAGTTGCCACCTTAATGTTATCCATGATTAAAAACAACTCTCAACTTCCATGTGTGAATCACGATCCAATCCCCGTATACGAGCATGGCTAAGCAATAATAAGCATAACGTATATTCCCGGGGGGATCAAAAGGTATTAGGTTCCTACGTCAAGCACTACAACCAAAACCACATGTTCCCAATCCTACTCATGCAAATATTTGAGGGACAATACTAATGCATAGTAAAAACTGGGTATAAAAGAGTATGATTGAGGGAGTCCTGGATTAGGGGGTGTTCGGATGGCCGGACTATGACCTTTGGCCGGACTCCCGGACTATGAAGATACAAGATTGAAGACTTCGTCCCGTGTCCGGATAGGACTTTCCTTGGCGTGGAAGGCAAGCTTGGCGATTCGATATGAAGATCTCCTCCCATTGTAACCGACTCTGTGTAACCCTAGCCCTCTCTGGTGTCTATATAAACCGGAGAGTTTTAGTCCGTAGGACGAACAACAATCATACCATAGGCTAGCTTCTAGGGTTTAGCCTCTCTGATCTCGTGGTAGATCAACTCTTGTACTACCCATATCATCAATATTAATCAAGCGGGAGTAGGGTTTTACCTCCATCGAGAGGGCCCGAACCTGGGTAAAAACATCGTGTCCCTTGTCTCCTGTTACCATCCGCCTAGACGCACAGTTCGGGACCCCCTACCGGAGATCCGCCGGTTTTGACACCGACATTGGTGCTTTCATTGAGAGTTCCTCTGTGTCGTCACCTTTAGGCCCGATGGTTCCTTCGATCATCAACCACGACGCGGTCCAAGGTGAGACCTTTCTCCCCGGACAGATCTTCGTGTTCGGCGGCTTCGCACTGCGGGCCAATTCCCTTGGCCATTTGGAGCAGATCGAAAGCTACGCCCCTGGCCATCAGGTCAGATCTGGAAACTTAAACTACACGGCCGACATCCGCGGGGACTTGATCTTCGACGGATTCGAGCCACGGCCGAGTGCGCCGCACTGTCACGACGGGCACGACCTAGCTCTGTCGCCAGACAACGCTTAGAG